ATACACCAGGACCTTGAGTGGGACCCGAATGAAAGGTGACGGCTGTGGCTTCCAAAATTGACACAGAGATCATGTGAGGCCGAAATTAAAGCTTGCAGGCATTCATGGAGTAGGTTGAAAGTAATAACACAGAATTGAGTGCGATGGAGATGTGACACTGAAGCCCCATCTTCCACTCGAAGCCCAAGGAACGAATAATAATAATAATAATAATAGTAATAATAATAATGAAGTAATACTGTGCAACGAAATCGTCAAAGGGCTATCTTTACTAAAATTCCGATTTCCTCCCTCTAATATCTTGATGGGTACTTTTTAACGATTTAAAAAAGATTCTCTGCATACTCCTTTATCGCTTATTCAAAATGACACTAAAAACCTATTTTCAAAATTCAATTTTGGGGTTCTTCCTTTCAAATTCCTGCATCAAAGAAACATTAACAAAGGTAAGATAATTTTGCTGCATCAGTTTGGGACTAACAGTAAGTTCTGACACCGATTCGATACATAAACATCAACACAAAATCTTAAATAGAGGTGCATCACAGCTCAATCTACCAAACTTTGGGGTCACAAATACATAAAGGACAGCACAGGTTTTGAATGCTATTATGCTGAATAGGTTTGCTTTGGAAGAAGAATTTTAGACCAAAACATTCAATACTTTGAAGATAATAAGGAGTGAATAATTAATTCTATGTCATTGTGAATGATTTTGAATCTTTTCAATAAGGGTATACATTCTGTAAATGAGGCATATAATTTGTGGTATAGTTCACTAATGTGGACATAGCTTTTGTCATTGCTGTACAACGGTACAATCTATCAGTTGAAGGTATGTTTCACTTCATGTTTTCAGTTCTCATCCCATAATGCAGCATCCAGCATACTACGTGTGTAGTATCAGTGGGAAGAATCCAGTAAATTAGTTAACGATCATAAATGCTTCAAATAATAGACTGTCATAATTGTTCGTGTGTGGTGATAAATGGCAGTGAAGGTGAAGTAAAAACTACTATCATAATTATATATTATCGAATAAGGTAGAAATTGATTTTCCTATTTAAAAAAAACAATGCATATATTTCATGTTAGGTCAGAAAATAGTACGATTTAATGGATAAGGAAAGGAGCACTAAAAATTATAAGATTTCTGTTAGAAATCTAGATATCTGTTAACTTGAAAGCACTGGATCGATTGACTGTGCCCTAAGTTAACATAATAAACAATCATTTGAAATCAAATGGAAATCAGGATTGTTGTATTTTCAAGGTATTAAGCCGTCGTAATTGATCTATGTATATGCAGTTGGACTGATGGCCTTTAAACAGTGAAGTCAGCTTGCCTGTTTTCAGCCCACCGACTTACTCTTTTCGGTACGAAAAATAAGACCATTTACTTTGTTATAATGAGTGATTTAACGGCAGATGTTTGGAGGCAGTCAGCAGCACTTCCTGAACCTACGTTTTGTGCATATTAGCGTTCGTTAACAAAGCGTATCTGCAAAATTGAAGGAACTAATGTGCCCTCTGAAACTCAAACTCGTTTACTAAATGGTAAGGCGTCTAGGATCACCTGTCGACTGCCACCGACCATCTAATGCTTACTCGAAAGCTGTACCGAGATGGCGAGTCTTTTAGATTGGTAATCATTTTATGAATCGACTGACACAATTAGTCAACGCCACTGAAGGCAAGACACATGATACCGGTTACTCCCCAGTGGCAAATCAATATCATCGGTAATTTGTTACTAGAATTCACTTTACATTTACATGCGCTTCACGTATTTACGTCTTTGAAATTCCGCATATTAACTGGTAGGGTAAAATAAAAAATTGGTTGTTGAATGATGGCCGTAATTTCGTAATGATATCTGGTTGTAAGAACCAGTGGACATGATTTCTTCTCTTTTCATTTCTTTTTGATCGCTTCATACTGCTGCTGATTTTAAGTCGAAAGCATTTCCTGAAATAGAGACACTAGAAATAGAGTTGTCAACAGCATTCTTACCACTATTTTTAGTAAAAAAAATGAAGTAGACTTAATGCTTTAAGAAACAATCATTTAGAAACTGAGTTTGTTTACGTAGCGAGTCATACACACAAATGCTGAAGGACCATAATTAGAACTGCTATAATTATTTAACCTTGTTGTGCTACATCTTCACGTATTTGTCTGGAATGTCTTTTGTATCTAAGGTCTTTTTGATGCTAACATCAACCAAAACATTAACTCTATCCTAATCAAACATGCCTTCCGGAAACAATACTTTGAACATCTGGTAATCTAACTAGATGACTGAACAATGTTAGGCCCTAATTTTGTTCCTGTAATAGAATAATTTTAATAGATACAACACGCGACGGCACATCATTTGTTTCCTGATGACGTATTGAACATAATTTGTTACTCTGTAGACGTATAGCTGAGAAACTTTTCCTCTACTGAACTATCCTCCCTTCTTTATGACTCTACGAATGCACAGTCAGCATTAAACGGGGTAAAAACTGTGTTAATTAAACTGTTATTTTAATACATAAAAGTACTTTTGTGGTGAGAGCTGTCTGCAAGCCAAAGTTGTAAACAACAATTTAAGTCTATGTTTACGTCCCGAATAGGGCTCAGGAGAGAAAACAAGAATAAAGCCTAACCTTGAGGAACTCAACAACCAATCACAGCAGACTTAGCGTGGGCGGTTACGATTCGCAGATATATCACCGGACTGTCTAAGAAACGGCAACAAAGAGATGACAGAATAACCTTCAGCAGGAAAACAACCAATCAGAGGACGTTGTTTCTGTGCTAACAATTACGAATAATAATGTACATAAAAATCTATAAATATCTCTTGATTTTTTTATATTTTATTATAGCTTGATTCCACACAGTATTTTGGTACAAGTATGGAATTTTCAGCATGTGACATCGGTAGCCCAAATTTAGCAGGCCGACAATAGATATCAGGTGTGCGTCGGCGGGAGATCAAACCTCGCACCATGTACATGGTCGGCGAGAGTCCTAACCGCTGTGCCACAATAAACGATCTGTTGCCTGACACTTGTCTTCTGTAGTTACACTTTCACTGGTTGCATAAGTACAGCATGAGTTTTTCAAATAGCTCACTTTAGTTTGGAAGAAATAATCCGTAAAGATAGTACCTATCACCATTTGTACTGACAAAATCAAACCCAAGTTTTCGACATGATACCATAAAAGAAACTGTTTTACTGCCAGCAAGCTGAAGCTTTTAACCACTATCTTGAAGTTTTGTTTAACATCAAATGATGTAATTAATTATGCGGGAAAAATAGAATATAAATTCAACTAGAATATCTGGATACTTTTGAACACTGTTTCGACTATCAATTCATTTATTTTTTGCCATGATATGTAATTTTCATGTTCCATGGGTTTTTATGTGTTTCTTAACATATTTTCTGGGGTTTCCGACGATTATGGTGGTAGTGTTGTCCATTCCACTTAATTTCAAACGGGAGTTTCTAAAAACGTTACATGCGATAATACTGAAATTCTTTTGAACTTGATTTAATTGATTTTGAATACAGCAAGAACAATAGTTTTTGCAGAATAAAATGGTATCATCATTTATTTCGTCGGTTTCCTGCTGCTGTGTCACAGGGCAGAAGTGATAAATATGCTACTGAGACACATCAAACAAGAAAGAACAAACAGAGACAATTTTAACATATCCAAGTATTGGTTTAACATACTTCCACAGAGTTCATTTTTAAACAAAAACTTGATTTTAAAGGTGAAAATATGATAGCAATTGTCAACAGAAGATTGAAGACGTCACTAGGCAGAACCTATCCTGCAGCTAATCTGATTTCTGTCCATCGAACAACTTGCCCTTTGGTGCAATCAAAAATCAACAGATATCCTTCTCATGTTAACTCCAACTGTATATACAAATTCACATGTATCTGCGGGGGCAGTTACATTGGAAGAACAGAAAGAAGGACATACCTCCGGTTTTCTGAACGTGTACCAAAAAGCCTACGTCTAAAGGGAACAAATGCTTTAAACAGTGCCATTGCCAGGCATCTCCCTGACACGGGTCATGAGGTGGACAACGCAAGATCGTTCAAAATTATCAATAGGCAAAAGAGTTCAATTCTCCTTAATTTTGCCGAAGCAATCTCCATCAAGCGCCTGAAACCTGATTTATGCGTTCAGAAAGAAGCGGTTATCAGTCTTTCGTTGTTCTGGTAACTGGATATTTCCACCCCCCCCCCCTTTAATCCGATTACGTAGTGCCGAAGGTTTCCACTGTGTATGATCATTATTGTTTTGGATAAAGTGTTTACTATTATTATGTTATTATTGTATGTATATATTGATTGATTTTTGTTTAAAAAATGAACTCTGTGGAAGTATGTTAAACCAATACTTGGATATGTTAAAATTGTCTCTGTAGATATACTTAATGATGACTTTGGGTTGTAAGCAGCTGATGAGAAACCGACGAAATAAATGGTGATACCCTTTTATTCTGCAAAAACTGTTGTTCTTGTTGTATTCGAATTCAATAATTGGAATAAATGTATGAAGTCATTGATTTTTGTTGAACATTATCTGGAAATCACAACAATAACTTATGAGATTTCGTGTGTAATGCGTTTTGTTTTAGTCCATGTTGTCATACATTTTTTCTTATAGTTGAGTAATCTCAACACTTTGAGGCACAACGCATATATTATCTTCTTAGATGGAGTTTATATCTATTCACGTATCTACACTTATATTATTAGTCAGTAAGAGTGTATACCACTGTGCGTTAAATTACCACAAAAATATAATAAAAGACTGCTCTTACTGACACAGTGTTATAGCATATGCGTTTGAACAGCCCACGGGAGATACTGATTCATTAACGATATTACATTATAGGCGAAATTATAACCCAGTCCTTTCATTTTAATGAAGAATATCTTTAAATTTTCGAGAACAATACGATAAATAGTAACTGAACTCACATTTAAGGTTAATATTTTCAGTGCTTCACATTTTGAAGTGAATGCTTTATGGATTACTTCAAGTTCTGATCTCAAAACAGTACACTCCTGGATAAAGAACAAGAATATTGACAAAACTGACAAGTTATTAAAAAGGGAGATTTGAGACACAAGCTATAGAAAGACACAAACTGGTAAAAAAATGGTCACTGAGGGCATCATATGTTGTCCGATGAGACCGGTAGATGTAACCATATTTACGTAATATTTTAAATTTGACGTTAATTTTAACAATGAGGAAGATATATGAGCAGTTCTGAAACCTTTGATTGCACACCTACATATTTCTAATTGTCACTGCTACTAATTAACTATGTTTAACTTACATAAACAAAATATTTTGCATCCTTCAGGTGTACAGATATTTTGATTTCATTAAAGTGATAGGTAAATAAGGGGAAGTATTTTCAAAATACAGTAACTATCCACACTGTATTCGCCAGCGACGCTGGAAAGTGGCTTATGGGTCAGTGTAGAGTAATTGGTCAAGCAGTCCAAGCCATCTACTTAAAAACTGTATTTACGAATGCATGTGAAAACCACTATTCAAGTAACTGATTCGAGTTTACTGGTGAAGAACACTCCTACCGACATCGGAGTTTTACCGAGGCGTAAGTGTCATCAAATAAGTGGTAGCAATAACAGAACGGAAATAATTCAACAGGTGTAAAGAGGAAATAGTTACAGCAACAATATACTATACTGTAATTAATCTATTATTGGATAGCTGAAATTATTTGATTTGAAAAAGTACGCAATCATAACTGCGAACAGTTTGTCCCAAAAATTTCACGAAATATATTGTTATAGCTTGATTCCACACAGTATTTTGGTACAACTATGGAATTTTCAGCATGTGATATCGGAGGCCCATATTTAGCAGGCCAACCATTGATATCAGGTGTGCGTCGGCCGTGGATCGAATCACGGACCATGTGCATGGTCGGCGAGCTTCCTAACAGCTGTGCCACCGGAGCACAGTGATTGTATGATGGAATAAAATGTATATTTGGATCATTTGAAAATTCAACAGGATTGAGTGGATGGTGGTAAAAACCCACTACCAATTTCAAAAGCATCTACTATAGGTTTTTAGGACTTCAATATAGTTCTATGCCATTCGGCCACTTTTTAACAATCAAGGGAAATTCAGCAGTCTGTATTCTCTGGAATAACTTATTTGATCTTATTTATAGGATTTAAATAGCATTTCAGATTTAATAATAAGCAAGACCAACTCAGTATCAAAATATCAAACTAACACTAGAATACCGGTATATTCTAAGAATACTTACCAATGAAACAGCATGAAGTCTAGTGTGCAAGTCACGAATCACTTTCTCAGTGTTTTCCAGTAAGTGATTTTGTGCTTTCTCAGTGGCACACAGTAATAGACTGAAACAAAATTCATGCTGACAGACTGGACATCCAAGATCTATTTTCGAAAACAATGACGTGGTATTGCTTGACCAAATATCTGATTTAAAAGCCGAAATGGATTCAGAATCTGGGCTTTTGTTATCTGGGTACGAGATACCATTAGATGTAGCATAAGAGCTGCTGCTATGTCCCGTAAGATTTCGTCCGATCAGTTTATTTATTTGAGGTTCCAGTATCCACATGTGTCGGAATGAACAATACTGCAGAAAAGGCTGCAAGAGGAAACCGAAAGCAACCATTTCTTTTTAAAATACACCATTTTATTGGTACATGTATTGAATAATGTATGTAAATAAAATGTTCCAAAGTATAAGGATAAAATCATTGGTCTTTGTTATCTGTATTATGAGCTATACTGTGAACTGCTAACACGATAAAATCAGCCCCTGTAAAAATGTAATTCTGATGAAAAATGTTTCCACGGAGTTATAGAGCTGAACTATGAGTATTAAACCATATTTCGTAATATTTAAGACTTTTTCTTTAAAATTTCAAGGGTTTTGCAAAATAAAATCGATAGGAAGCTTTGAATTTACGTACCTTCTCTTTAAATCATCAAAAGTAATTCCAGTAGAAACTCATGGGGGCAGGAACTAATACGAAATAAATACATAATAAAAAGCTCGAGTAATTCATTCTTGTGGCAGCATCACAATACGTTGTGTACTTGAGAAATGTGTGAGTAACACTAATTCACCGGTAGGGTGTAATGCCGTATTGGATATATTCATTTGGTGATAAATTACTTCGTACATTACTTTTTAGGAATAATCGGGTGTCTGATCACAATTTTTGATTAAAGGGTCCACTAAGAAGGAAATTTTTATATTTTTTAAATAAAAACGTGTGATTCTGATCATCTGAATGACATGTTGCTTTGATGGTCGCATGCGGAATCTCTGCCTACTGAATTAGCATTCTTCAGATTTATTCAAATTTTTTTTATTTTATTTATTTATTAATTGTAGCTTGATTCTACACAGTATTTTGGTACAAGTATGGAATTTTTAGCATGGAATATCAGTTGCCCAAATTGCACAGTATCTAATACAAAAACATTCGAGATTTTGTAGCCATCTAAACCAGAGAATGAAAAACGAATGAAAACTGAAAAATATGTGATGGAACTTAAACTATCTGTTCTTAGGCAGAACAACTAAAGGCGATGCCGACGATCAAAGAGTGCATTGTCATACTTTCTTCTGCACATTAAATATCCAGTAGAAAACTACGTTTTAATCAAAAAGCCATAGTGGGCAGTTTGTGATGCATATCTAGTAAAGTTTTTTTCAACACCCTCAGCTAATCGTTTTTCCTCCATGTTCTACGATAAGCTGGAAGAAAGTATTACGGTCAGTCAGCAGTACTTTGCTAAAGTAAGACTGCAGGTTTCCAACGTCTTTATCTTATCCTTTTCTATTACAAACAGAAAAGGGTACACCTTCCTCTGCTTATTCTTAATAATAAAATAGTCCTCAGGACATTGTACTAACGTTTTTAAAAACTCAAATACTCTGCTTAAATCTAGCAAAAGTTTCTTATTTGCAAAAATTTGTCTTCAGTATGTCACTTTTCGTTACATAAAATACGCTGTTAAAGTGTGTCATAAACACTTACTGCCTTTGTGTTTGAAAATCCACCCAATATTTAAGGGGACGCGTTGATGATACTGACCGATGAAAGAAATGAGATGTAAATTCTTTGAAGTCTCGCCTAAGTTCTGCCTACACTAGCAGATCAAACCCAATAGGCTTTAAAAACCATACAAAGTTCTTGGTTAGTGACGTTTCACTCTCAATATAAGCGTATTTTGTTCTGTGTATACTTTTTACTTTGCGACATTTGACTGTTATCTGTACAAACTAACTATCAGAAAGGTTACAAACCAACTAGCGTTTATTTCGGAAGCATTCCAGAAAATTTGGTTCGCTCTTCGGGAGCACTGTTAAATGTCCAAGCACATTTCAGATCCACTACAGAAAGTGGGAAATAACTGGGCTTTTTCATAGTGAACCCGACGTTTACTCCCGGAACTTTGTGCAGTGGGCCCGAAGAGTTTTACTAGATGGGAACGATGTGTTTGTAAAAAATTTTCAGGCAAGAAGCGTCGGTTTATTCCGTAGATAGTTATTATCTACACGTGAATAATAAACGTAAGCTGCAAAACGATAACCTTTTACTGCTGATTCTGACATGATCAATCCTAGTTTGGAAAACTAATAATTATAAATATAAAAGTGAAAATCTCCAAACCGAATACTTTTCGTCCAGATTCATACTAAGATCATAATGATATTAGGCTGTTGTAGCCCGTTATTAATTTATACAATATATATATATCTGCAGAGATCTAATTTCTACCTGAAATCGTTCAATGATGGGAGTATAAACCAACAAGAAGACAATATCCTATATTCAATAACAAGTCAAACCTTACTTGAGCCAGATAAAAGGCACATTACTCAGTCACAGTGGGAAAAGTATTGAAAACTATCATTGAAACTCGTTACATATTTTACAAAACTGCGGCTATTTCGACCTTAAAAGAAGTGTGGTGCAGTAAAACAAACCATGGGTCATCGAATAGAAGTTATTGTGCATCAGTTGAACCCATCTGATATGCTCAATTGCACTAATATATTATTTTTCAGCTCTCGATTGGTGAATTTAGCCAAGCGTTTATAGTGTGGTGGCGTTCTCTAATCCCTCTTTAACCCCCGTGTTTTTCTTTTTGCCTGCCGCAGCCTCCACGCAACATAATGGGAGTATCTATCTAACAGTTAAGTCATATTTTATTCGTAGTATACGGCGACACTGGTTTGATCACAGCTAGTCCTCTCCTCCGTTGGTCATGCAATGCAATCGAAAAGACAGAAATTAATTACGCGCTTTTCGATTTGTATGCTACATTTGCATAGTCACATAAAACTCTTATTTCTCTGGTGTTTCTGGCCAGGAAGTTGTAGAATTTGTTGTAAATCCAGATCCCCCAAGTCTTTTGTTTGAGTCCACTTTATGCCTGTTTCCTCATTGCCAGCTGTTTGTCGCATTATCCAGTATACTGCAATCAAGAAAATCATTGGCGATAGTAGGCAGCCAGTTTGTCTTACTCCTGTCCTCACTTCGAAAGATTCCGTAAGTTTCCCGTTGTGGATTACTTGACATGCAGCATTGTCGTACAGCTGTTGGATGAGATGTATAACTGTCGGTGACACACCGTAATAGCGAGGTAGTTTCCAAAGCACCTCTCGATCGACGCTGTCAAATGCCTTTTAAAAGTCGATGAAGTTGAGATAGAGAGGTGACTGCCATTCCAGGCTTTGTTCAATGATGATCCGTAATGTGGCGATCTGATCGATGCATGAATTGTTCCTCCTGAATCTAGCCTGTTACGTTGAAGTTTTTAATCCAGGGCATGTTTGATTCTCTCCAGGATGATGCGGCTTAGTATTTTGATTGGGATGGACAGGAGCATAATTCCGCACCAGTTCTTGCATTGACATAAATCTCCTCTCTTTGGCAGTTTGAATAGGTGGCCTTTTCTCCAATCTTTAGGTGCCTTGCCTTCTTTCCAAAACTTTCCAGTAGTGGTGGCATGAAGTCCGCTGTTGTCTCTGGGTCCATTTCCAAGGCTTCTGCTGGGATTCCATCTGGTCCTGCTGCTTTTCCAGTCTTTAGCATCTTGATTGCCTTCAGGACTTCTGATTTCGTCGGGGGGTTGGTGTTCACAGGTAGCTCTGTCTCCGTTGTTGGTATTGCTGGGCGTGTGCGCCCAGTGTTTCCTTTGCTCCACTTCTTTGGTGAGTGACTTTCCATAGTCATCCTTCACCGGCTTAATTTGTGTCCCTTGTACGAGATAGTGGTCTGAGCCAACGTCTGATCCTCTTCTTACGGTCGTTTCCAGTAGGCTGCGTCTCCACTTCCTTGAGACTGAGATGAAGTCAATTCAGTTTTTGGTTCGCCCATCTGCTGACACCCATGTAGCCTTGTGGATATCCTTGTGTTTGTATACGCTGTCGCCAATCACTAGTTCATTGAATGCGCAGAAGTCCTTGTATATTGTCTGTTATGAAGTGGCGGTACAAGCTGTTTTGCCGCTCAGTGGAACTGGCAGTGCACGCATCACTGTTCTGTGGCCACCACCTGAAACCTCACAACCCTCTCAGGTTGACAGGAGACTTACATCATGGAAGAATATTAAGTCAAGTACGTCGCCACAAATTTTAGGGATATTGACAGTTTGTTACCAGACGAAAATATCCAGTGTACCTAAGAGCTTGTCATACTTGGCTGGGACTGTGAATAAATCCAAGCTTATTTAGTGTAAATTGAAGTCTCCACACATGATCTTATGCTCGTATGGAAGAGTGAATACTTGCTCCAGTGCAGTAATGAGTTCAGTCTCGTAATCACTAAAGGTGCCAGGTGTTCCGTAGATACATCCCATTAGTAGTGAAGCACATTTTAAGTGTACGTTGACCCACAGGGTGTCGTGCATGTCACTGAGTTCCCCATTTTCTAGCTGTAAAACAGTGTGTTCAGGAAGTACATTGGGCGGCCTCCCCCGTTACCACTGTTCCTGTCACATCGTAAGTGTGTGTACCCATAGATGCTTGTTTCTTCGTTTGATATATTGGAGTGACACTAGGATTCAGTAGTAATGATTATTAGGGGTTTATATACCAGTATGTGTGCCCTGGTCATCGGTGGTTTATTTAGCATACATCTAGCATCAATAAGAATTAGGTAAAGTTGAGAGTTGAAGTAGTGTTTCAGGTATTTAAGCTTGTCAAACAGGCTCAATGGCTTAACAACCCTGTGTTACAATTAGTGTGAGTACCATATTCACCTATATCTATCGAATTATTATTTGCTCTCTTTGGTGAAGATGTGTTTTATTATTGGATTCAGTATAGGAGACATGGATAGGAGCTTTTATTTCGCCTATGTTTGTACACGGATTGAACGCTATTAGTAATTGCGTCTGCACTAATCTGTGTCTGTTTTCTTCCTGATAGGGAGCCGACATTAGTGGTGCGGGTTCAGAAGTGTTGACGTCCACACCAGTTGTTTGGTCAGCGCTGACAGGGATGTGAAGGATACCTTGTGATGCCCATGACTTATCAATATGCCTATTGTTCGGAAACATTCTAATAACCTAACATGGGTTTTATTATATTTGTGTTGAGAGCTGTCTACTAGCCAAATTGGTAGACAGTAATTTACGTCAATATTTACGTTCCCAAGATTTGTCGTGAGAAAATTTGAACAAAGATTGATTCAAAACCGACCACAGCAGACTTTGCGTAGGCGGATGCAGTTAACATATAGAGGATTTGACATTCAAGAAACAGTCACAAATAGATGAAAGATTAACTTTAAGTGAGAAACAACCAATCGGAAGACTGTGTTTGTTTACTTAAATATCCATCGTAATGTACATGAAAATATATAAATATGCGTTGATTTCCTTAATAAATGATCTGTTGCCTGACCCTTGCCTTCTGTTGTTACATATGCATTGCTGTACTGTGGTTTAGTTCACAGCAGACTTGTGCCATATATTTTGTCAAAGTTTGTTTGTGTACCATGCTTTTAAGACTTAGAGTGGTTGGTGGCTGAAGTCTGATGTTTTCCACTTGTATCAGTTTGCGTGATGTTGTAGCTACGCCAGATATTAGTGTGGGCCTTGGTGTGACTTAGCATAGTATGAGAGCAAGTTGTGTCGTTATTGTCCGTGGATCGTATGACCTTATTTCTGCTTTTATTGTGGCTGTTAGCATAGTTTTGTATATTATTTATCTTACAGCGTGGATTCTTCTTGGGAGTTTGAAAATGTTGAGGATTTTTCGTTTCGAGTGGTGTATTTCGGCATGTTTAGTTACCGAATTCCATTTGGATTCTCACTTCATGGTTAGGAGAGGATGTTGTCGACTTACGAGGGGCATTGATTTCTGTATTAGCGCTATCCAGAGACATATCAAGATTAACGGTAGACGGTGGAAGGGCTACATTGGGAGAAGGATTATAATCCAATGGCCACTCGGCTGATGTTTTGTTCTGTATAGCTAGTTTTGTGAGATTTTAGAGGAGGGAGAGGATGGGTTCTACAATGCTGACAGTGGGTTTATCTGTTTTGGTGTCTTGTCCTTCTGACCATTAGGTTTAGTGAGGTGATTGCAAGGGGCGTTAATAAGGCATATCCCCTGTTTGAAGTGGCGCCTCCAGCTTTACCTTGAGGACATTCGCGCGGTCTAGTTGATTTGAGTTTGGCTGATTTGTTTCGTTTGATCTAGGTAGCTGCATTTGACGTGATTCTGGTATCTGTTTGGCTTGAACTGTATTGATTTTGTTAAGAATAGTCGTCAAAAGCTGCCTCTGGTCCTGAAGGTAGTTATGGTGCAGGAGGATGCTTGAGAATGTGTTTCATGTGAAGATTATAGGGTGCACCTAAAATCCTCCTGTTTGTGGCGTCTCAATGATTTCTGTAGAGCTTCGTTTCATCACTTGTGTCCATATTTGTCGTTCACGAGTGTTTCAGTAAATGTTTATGGCTATAATCAGGAACTTCCCAAAACGGTAACTGTGGTAAGGAATTTATATTTTTTTCCGCTATAGTTTCCAAGTCAATGTCTCTTTTAAGTTGCTTACTGTACTCTGTTGGCTATTCATGAATTTATTATTGAAAAGCTTCTGTTTTCATTTACAGTGGTACCGAATGGACGCATTGGCACTTGGAGACAATGGCAACCAACCTGCTCTTCCTATATCAGTGGATATCAAAAAACCTTTTGACGGAATTATGTTTAGTCACCGGTATACCAGTTGGGTTCAAGTAGAAGATGCTCTAAGTCAGCTGGAATCAGTAATATATGTATATATGTATGAGAGAGTATTCCTAGGCAACTCATACACATTATGTAATCAAAAGGTGCATACGGGACCATGAATCTCAGGATTTGAAGTACAAATTCGTTGTACGTATGGCATGAAGCTAAAAACTAGAGGTTCAGGTTTACGCGTCAAACCGTAAGAATTCTATTATTTATTTGTGCAGTGCAAAATACACCAGTTGCCAATCTGGCTTTCGTATACGCTACAAGGAGGACGAATTTATCATTTCTTCCGCGAAAACTGTTCACAATTACAGATGTGAACAAAGTCTTATGATAGGTGATCCATATTTTAGACGCCTTTCCGGGGATGAAAAGGAGAATATTGCACCAGTTGTGAAGACTACATCTGAGGTTGCTGATGTTTTGGAATATGCTGAAGAGAATTTTAATAAAATTTTGACGAGCACAGATGTGTATAATTTACGTAAGGATGTGAGACCAGGTAAGTGATGTAGTTTAAAGTTATTTTGGAAGCCATGCCTTTGAGATCAGATGTTAATTGCATAATAAGGCAAATCGGTCATGTGGTTGAATACGTGGATTCGAATACAGGGATAACCAGCAGAATTTGCTTCGCCCTGGAATCACAGGTTCAGTTATATCGGAAACATGGAGAGGTGGTGTGTATTGACTCAACATACAA